CCGGCCATCCTGTGCGTGCTGCAAGCTGAGGCTTTGAGGGGAAAATAACACGTCCTCTGAAAATAAGCCCTAGGGTGTCTTCTTGAGGAAAAATAAATATAAGACCCTGTCTTATTTTCGGGGAAACATGGTGTGTGTGTGTGTGTGTGTGTGTGTGTGTGTGTGTGTGTGTGTGTGTGTGTGTATACACACTCACATATATATGCAGTTAGCTTACTTTAAGAAACTAAAGTATAGATATCCCAGTAAGATGTGTTTTTGACTGTTTGATTATATGTGATCTGTACATATATTCAATTCCAGAATATTTTATTTAAAATCATTGCCATTCTGAGACTTGAGCAATTTAGAATTGCTTTATTCTGGTACTTTAATTTCTTTTCCCCACATTTTAGTTCAATTAATTGTTTGCTTAATGACATATATTAAAATTACTTTGAGGATATCTGTGTTTCCTTCCTTGCAATAAAGTGCTTATTTTTTAACCTACATTTTATTTAGGGTACTGCATATAATCATAAGAAATTAAGTGATTTAAAACTATTAATACTTTATTAAAAAAACTAAAACAAACAATGTTATAAGTTGGAATTAGTAATATGCCCATGTAAATGTATTTTTATGTGTAATGATCATATTATTAAATATAAATTTCTTTTGGAGGTGTTTGAGGAGTTTTTATTTTAAAAGAGAATAAAATAACATAATGAGAACTGAGTAATATTAATTTATTCTAATGATAGATATTTGCATTTTCATTATACAAGATTATTTGAATTTTTCTTTACAGGCAAACTAAACCTGAAATTTATTATTGACATATGTTTTTTGATTTACCAATTCCATTTGTTCCTAAAAAGCCATGTGTGTAATACACAATTTTGTGAATTAAATTTTTAATGCTTCATTGACACTTGCTGATTAAAGAAACCTCTAAATTAAGCTTTTATAAAATGAACTTTTTTTTGTATATGTGTGATAAATCTGTATTTTTACAGAGCACATTTACAACATCTGTACATACAAATCGAATTGATGGTTTCTGTGTGTTAATTCCTCCTTCAGAGACATTTAACTCCCCATGCAACCTGCAAGAGCCTTATGTTATAAGGTTATTTCCACATACCAGATACCTAATGAAGTTGAGTTTTAGTTGATAAATGCCACTTATTAGCCTACACTTTATATGATTTGTTAATTTCTAATAACTTAAGGTATCAATCATTTCTAGAGGCCCTGTGACTTAAAAGTTAAATGAGCCTTGTGCCTCAGAGACGTCCAGAGGAGAACAAGCAGAAATTCTATGTCATCTTTCATTGAACTATTTTAAGATGAGGACTTTGTGGTACTTTCCTTGTGGTTCCCTTTGCTTGGGGATTGTTTTACCTAGGAATATAAATCGGTCCCTAATACTTTAAAAAATAAGTCTTCTGGTTGTCACATCACTGTGAACAAGAGCCTGTTGATTATGGTCTGAAACTAGTAGTAGTGGTCAAAGCAACAGTGGCAAAGATAAACTTGATCGCTGAATACGAGAAAAGTCAATAGAATGTCATGGAAATTGTATCTCAGTGACAGATGTGTGTGATATTAATACATATGGATGAAATTTGTCCTAGATCCAGCCTATCAGTTGGGCTTAGACCTTTAGCAAACTCTATGGAGTTCAATCAAGTAGGCTCAAAAGTCTTATCCGCATCAGCCTTTCTGAAAGCCTAAAGGAGCCAGGTTCTACAAAAGGGCAGCAGAGTTTGAGTGACCCTGTCAGAGTCATATAACCTCTCAGAACCAGTTGAGGAATTAGGAACAGAGGAGACAGACAGGTTTTAATTATATCGTCTGTAGATCACTTTAAACTGCTTTAACTAGAGAGCATGCTCAGCCAAGGTCAAAGGTCATGTTCCATAGGGAGCGAACTTCATATCATTCACACACACACACAAATTCTCTGTCTCTTTGTCTCTCTCTCTCTCTCCTCTAAAAGGCTTTGAAGACATGCAGCTCCTTTTCTATATTTTTGCTCAATCTTGCCTTTATTTGCAGAAACAAGCCCTCAAAATGGTTTTAAACCTCCATTTGGATTCTTAGACCACCACAAATGACAGCTAGAGCAGTTAAGATTAGTTTGGCCTTGAGTAACAGAAGTACTCAAAATAATGGCATAAACAAAGTGGATGTTTATACTCTCTCTCACATAAAGGAAGTCCAAAGATTGGCAGCCCAGGGCTGGTACGGAGGCTACATAAAGTCATTCAAGACACAAGGTCCTTCTCATCCACTGTTCAAAGATTACAACCTTTGTCCTTAGAGTTCAAAGTAGTTGCTAGAGCTCCAGCCATTACATCTCCATTCCTGGCAACAGAATGGAGAAAGGAAAGGAGGGCAGACCCTTTCTCTTTTGAGGAAACTTCATAAAAGTCCCCACACAACACTTTCACATACATCTCATTGGCCAGAACTTAGAACATGGTCCCACCAGCCTGCAAGTTCTGGGAATTAGTCTTTTAACTAGGCAGGTCATTGCTAACCAGCTAGAAAATGGGGATTTCATTAATTTGAAAGAAAGGGGGAGTTATTTGCAGATAGCTAGCCATGCCTGCCAGAGTAGCTAACATTTATTGCATGCTTATTATGCAAGTGCTGGGTATTGTACTGAGCACGTTACTTGCATTATCTCATGTAATCCTTGCAACACTTCTGCGAGGCAGTTACTCTCATTATCATCATTCGACCGATGAGGAAAGCAGGGCTCAGAGGGGCTTGCCCCGAGTTGCACAGGAAGTAGTAGAGTGGGATCTCGAGTCTAGCTTGGCTCCAGAGCCTGTGCCCTTTACTGTCACTTTATCTCTTTGCCATCATTTTGGCAAGCCATTTTCTAAATAAGAT